ACCACCACCACCACAACCCACCACCACCACCACCACCGTCGTCATCGTCGACGCTCCCCGCCGCCGCCGCCCGCTGGCGCCGGCCCAGAAAAAGAAATCGTCGTCCCCGCCGCCGCCGCCGCCAGCCACCGCCGACGCAGGCGCTGACCCGAGAAGAGGGAGAGGAAAACTAGGGGAGGAACAGTATGCCCCCCAAGCGCCCCATGGGCGGGGTGACTACGTCCTCCGCCCTCTCCGCCTCCTCCCTCCATCCTCCTCCTTCTTTCCTCCACCACCTCCTCCTGCTCCTCCTCCTCCTCATCCTCCTCCTCCTCCTCCGCCTCCTCCTCCTCCAACTCCCTCCTCCGTAGACCCCTTTCCCCCCCATCCCCTGCACGGCGGCCAAGGGAGGGTGCGGCGCGCGCCGCGCCGCGCAGCTTCTCGAGACACCGGCGCGCGGTGCGCAGCGCCACGTTAGCCTCCCCGCTGGGCCGCCAGTCAAGGGAGGGAGCGAAGGGAGGGAGAGAGCGAGGAAAAACGAGAAGGGAGGGCGAGGCCGAAACGGAGGAAGGGAGCAGGGAGGCAGGGAAGGAAAAGGAGGAGAGGAAGGAGGGAGAGAGGGAAGGAGGAAGGGAGGGGAGGAAGGGAGGCAGGGAAGGAGGCGAGAGGCAGGGAGCCAGGGAGGGGCAAGGGGGGGAGGGTGGTGGACGAGGAGGACGAGGAGGAGGAGGAGGACGACGAGGAGGAGGAGGAGGAGGAGGAAGACGCACCACCTGCGAGCCAACCGCGACCTTTCCTGGGTGGACCAGTTCGACGACGTCGTTTTCGGCTGTCTGGAAGAGCTCATCGGGGCCGCTCTCTACCCGCAGCAGCGCGCGCAGGCCACGATGCGCCTCAAAGATGGCGGCATCTCCTTGTCCTCCGCGCGGGCCACCTCCTCCGCAGCGTACGCGGCAAGCTGGGCTCTCACCATGAAGAAATGGCCCGTGCCGCAGGCTTCCCGAGCTGGAAGACTTCCGGGCGCAATGCCCCTTGACGCACGAAGCGCTCATGGAAGCCGACGCGGACCTCTGGGCCCAGGGGGCCACTGGCGGAGACTTCGATTGGCTGGGATGCTTCCAGAAACCCACGCCCAAGCTGCAGGGCACGTGGAGAAAGGCGTGCTCCACTGCCACTAGAGCAAAGCTCCTCTGAGAGCTCGGGGAGGACAACCGCCTGGCACTCCGCGGCGCTGGCGGGACAGGAGCTGGCAGTTTTGTCCTTCCCAGGGAGAAGGACGACCCGAGCATGCCCGACAAGCACTTCATCACTGCCGTAAAGGTTCGCCTCCGATGTGATGTTTGTCCACAAGGCGCCGCGTGCCAACATCGTCGCCAAGACGGCACAATCTGCGGCGCGCCACTCGACCGGCGAAGGTGGCACGCGAGATGCTGTGGAGTTGGTCACTCCCGCACCGCCCGCCATGACCGCATGCGGGACTGGCATGCCAAGCTGCACACCAGCCTCACTGGCTTCGCCCCGACCACGGAGCAGCTAGTCCCTGCGCGGGACCGCGTCAACAGGCGCACAGGGTTGCTGGAAGCAGCCAAACTGGACGTCGCCACGACGGATCCCAGCACGGGACGGCCCGTTTACGTTGACAGGAGCATCACCTGCGAATACTCTGAGCCCCTCGCAAGCAAGCGCGCTCCAACATCGACGGCGCTGCCGCAACGGCCGTGGTGCGGGAGAAGCGGGACCGATACCCCCCGAACGGGAGAGACCTCGCCCCACTCGTCTTCGAGACGCTGGGCCGCCCATCTGACGAAGCCGCAGAGTTCCCTCGGGCTGACGGACAGAGCTTCGATGAGGCGGAGCGGGGCGAGGTGCTCGGCAGAGTGTGGCGCCAGCTCTCCCGCCAGCTCCAGCGGGGCAAAGCAGAGATGGTGCTCAGTGCCACTGGCCGCTCAGGCCCCAGCGCTGCGCAGACGCCGCGGAGGTGCAGCCGCCGCCGTTGCGGCCACCACCGGCGCTGCACTAGGCGGCGCCGCCACAGCCTGAGGTGACCGCCGACGAGGGTGCGGAGGCTGTGGGCCACTAGCCTAGCAGCCATGGCAGCCGAGCGCGGCCACGGCGGCAGCGATGACGGCCGACGACGACCGCCGACGACGACAACCGATGACCCCCACGACTGCGACGACCGCTGGCCTCCGCCGCCCCAGCGCCTGACTACGTGCAACACCCGCTGCCCGACCCCCTCCCTGGCCGCCCCCCGCCCTGCCCGCCCCCTCTTCCCTGCCCCCCTGCCCTCGCTGGCCGGCCGCCTCTGCATGCATGTGCTGTCCCTCTCGTTCCTCCTCCTCCTCCTCCTCCTCCTCCTCCTCCTCCTCCTCCTCCTCCTCCTCCTCCTCCTCCTCCTCCTCCTCCTCCTCCTCCTCCTCCTCCTCCTCCTCCTCATGTTGTGCTGGATTTTTCCTTGCTGGGCCTAGGTGCAATTCGCGCTTTCCAATTCGAAGCCCCCTGCGACCCCACGGGTCCCCTTGGCGAAAGGGGAGGGGGGCCAACTCTGGCGCCCGTGGGTCTCCTTCCGCCGGAGGGAGGGAAGGAACGAGGAGGGAGGAAGGGAAGGATTGAGGAGGGAGGGAGGGGGGAAAGGAGGAAAAGAGACAAGCAGGGAGGAAGGGAACGAGGAAGGATGACAGAGGGAGGAGGGAGGGAGAAGAAGAGAGGAGGGAGGAGAGAGGAGACAGGAGGAGGAGGGTAGAAAAAGGTAGGAGTAAGATGAGGGCGGGAAGAAGAGGTGCAAAGAAGGGATAAGGGAAAAGAGGTGGACAACCCTCGAAGACAAACGCGCGTGGTGTTCCAGCCCCCCTGTCGGGTTGTTCGCTCCTGTTGCCACCTGCGGGCGGAGGATGAAGCGAAGGAGGGAGGAGCAGGAAAAAGAGGGGGAGGAGAGGGAAGGAACAGGAGGAGGGAAGGTGAGGCAAACAGGGAGTATGTAACGGAGGGAAGGACAAAGGACGAAGAGGCAGAAGGACGAGGAAGGAAGCAGAAGGGAAGACGGGGGGAACAGAAAAGGAAAAGGGAGGGAGGACGACAAGAGAGGGAGAGAATGACGACGCCGCTGGCAGGCGAAGGGGAAAAGGGCTGCAGCAAGCTGCAGGCGATCCGCGATTGTCCGCTTTTCCGGGAGGGATGGAGGGGGAGGATGAGGGAAGGGAGGGAGGAGGGAGGGAGCTAGAGAGGGAAGAACATGGGAAGGACTGAAAGAGGAAGAAGGGAGCAGTCGTGGAGGAAAAACTTCAGCCTCATCCTCCTCCTCCTCCTCCTCCTCCTCCTCCTCCTCCTCCTCCTCGTCTTCCTTCCGTTCCTCCTCTTCCTGCTGCTCCTCCTCCTCATCCTCCTTTTCCTCCGTTTCCTCCTCGTCCTCCTCCTCCGCCTCCACCTCCTCCTCCTTCTCCATCCCTGGTTATTTTAGGTATTCCCCCCCGTCACACACACACACACCAAGACACGCGTCGGCAGGGCGGGCCCGACGCCTCGTTTTAGACCCCACCATCACTTAACACCCTGTGGATTGACAACCGACGGTTTATGGCATGTCACGAGATACTGTATCCGACGGACGTTGGTCCCGATAGGGTCGTACTGAGCATCGACGGAGCGGGAGTTTTGACCACGTTTCCCGCGCATGCATGTTCGAACAAATTCTGGGCAACGCTGCTTTGTACGGTCTGCCCCCCCTTTTTGCAACATTGTTGTACTTTTCCATCGCGGATCGGCAATGAGAATTTGCTCGCACGCTCTAGCAACTCTGTCAAATCATACTAACTGTCTGGCAACAGGAGAGAGAGAGAGAGAGAGAGGAAAAACAAAAAAAAAAAAAAAAAATGACAGAGGGCAGTCGCGGAGCGAGGTAGAACGGGGGAGGACACTCACAGCACGACGATTTTCGGAGTAACTAGCCAGTGCGGCCGTCCGTTGCTGAGGCGCCCTGGCAGTGGACGCGGAGCCGCCTAGGGCAAAGGCTGCAGGCGCTGAAGGCGCAGAACAAGTCGAACCAGTACAGGGGCATAGTGACGAGCGAATCCACCGAGAGGTGGCATCCACACGTTCGTCAGAAGACCGTGCTACCAGGTAGCACAGCGCACAGCGGCTGCGCGATGCAAAGAGGCCAAGACCGAGAGGGCTGGCCAGCGAGTCCCTCACGGCAGCAAAACGCCGCGAGCCTCCGAGCTGAGCTGCTGAGGCCAGGCCGCAATACCGCAGCAAGTCGATGGCTACGACGCCACGGAGGCTGCAAAAGGGCCAACTGCCGAGGTGGCGCGAGCGGCGCAGGGCCGCCGCGCGCCGCCAGAAAGCCCAGCAGCGGCAGCCACGGTGAGAAGCGGGAGGTGACGGGGCAGAGCCAGCCAGCGCACGCATCACAGCCGGGCGCGGCAGGGGCGCCCAGCCAGGGGTCCGGCGGGGCGAGGGCGCCCAGCTGCGGGAGCCGCGGGGCAGGGGCGGAGGGCAGCGGCGAGCCCGAGTGGCGCAGGCAGCACAGCCGGCAGGCCACCCAAGGCAACCGGCCGCAGGAGTGGCCAGGCACGGGCGCCCAGCAGCAAAGGCCGCAGGGCAGGAGACCCGGCAAAGCCGAGCAAGCGCCTCCGAGCGCGCACGGCCAGGGGCCGCCTGGGGGGGGGGGGGGGGGGCACTGGCAGGGCGCGCGGCCGACGGGAGGCGGGGCGGGAATTGCCGGAGCGGCGCGCGGCCCCACCCAGGACCTGCAGGCCCTCCACGTCGCGCGACACCGCGCAGTTGGAACCCGCGCCTGACTGGCGCGCAAACTTCAGCGGGGGCACCCACCCAAAGAAGAAGTTTGCCTGATGATTGACCAAATCGCTTGATGAGAGACAACCGCCTTTGCAACACTGAATACAGCATTATCGAAACAAAGCAACAAAGCACAAGCAAGTGAATGGAATATGGAGAATGTGACAGCGAATACAACTGGTCGAAACACTGTAACAAGGGCACAAGCATCTTTGAATTATGCGCCCACCCCCACGGGCCGAGCGCACCCATCATGGTGGGGTGTCTCTTGCCTGGGGACGCGCCTGCCTTGAGGGCTGCAGGCCAGCTCGCGCATCACCGCCGGCCAACCTGACTGCGTCAGTGGCCCTGTGGGCCTGAGCGGCCCGAGGTTCGCCCCAGCCGACTGAGTCGGTGGGAGCCCCCCTGCTCTCGGGAACGCGTCGGTGAACGACCAATGAAGGATGGACAGGATGTCCACCCCCCCTGAAAGCTGATGTAGAAGCCGATGAAAACGACTCCCCCCTCTTTCAGCGAGACGTTCCACGCGCCCCGCGCCGGCTGATCCAGCGGGACACACTCACTCGCTGCGTCGGAGCCCGCGACGACGTGGGAGCGCAAAGCCCCTCGCCCCGAAGTCGCCTCGCGAAGCCCCCCGCCCCCGCGACCACAGCACTGAGCGGAGCGCAGGACGGCGGAGCCCACTTTTCCTTTTCTTGCCCCCCCCCCTGAAACCAGGGGGCGGGCGGCCCCAGCACGTCTACGCGATTTGCATGGTAATGACCGGTTTACAAGACAAGGATTGCCGAAGCAGTTGATTGCGCATCTTCCTTGCCGCGGTATCTATACAACGCCCCGCAGCCTGGCCCCCTCTGGTCTCAAAGCGACAACGTGGGAGACAACGTGGCATACATTCCCCGAAGTCGAACTCTGGCGAGACTTTCGGCTGATAACCAGAAGTTTGCCTGATGATTGACCAAATCGCTTGATGGGAGACAACCGCCCTTGCAACACTGAATACAGCATTATCGAAACAACGCAACAAAGTACAAGCAAGTGAATGGAATATGGAGAATGTGACAGCGAATACAGCTTGTCGAAACACTGTAACAAGGGCACAAGCATCTTTGAATTATGTGCCCACCCCCACGGGCCGAGCGCACCCGTCATGGTGGGGTGTCTCTTGCCCGGGGGCGCGCCTGCCTTGAGGGCTGCAGGCCAGCTCGCGCATCACCGCCAGCCAACCTGACTGCGTCAGTGGCCCTGTGGGCCTGAGCGGCCCGAGGTTCATCCCAGCCGACGGAGTCGGTGGGAGCCCCCCTGCTCTCGGGAACGCGTCGGTGAACGACCAATGAAGGATGGACAGGATGCCCACCCCCCCCTGAAAGCTGATGTAGAAGCCGATGAAAACACTAAAGAGGGCGCTTCAATCGAGACGCGCAACCGCCAGCGGGAGCGCCCACTGGGAAGGCAGGCGCCAGGCGCCCCAGTTACGAAGGCGGGGGGGGGTCCTGGGGGGGGGGCGGGCGGCGCGCCCGAAGGAGGAGAGTCAAGAGGGAGCACAAAAAAAACACACTCATACACACACACACACACACACACACACACACGCACACACACACACACACACGCACACACACACACACACATACGCACACACACACACACACACACACGGACACATCAATCGTCGATCCCCCAGGAAATATTGGAAAATATATAACGAAAACCCCGAAAATATAGGGAACATACAAATACCCATGGGATTTGCGCATGCACTCGCGTGCCCCAAGGTCCTTCAAAGAAGGAGAGGCGCTCCACCCGGGGGGGGGGGCCGCAGGAAGGGGCGCCTGATTGGCGCATGCGCGAGCGAATGGCCCGGGGGCCCACCCGGGAGGGGGGCTTCTACAAGTCGCCACGGGCGCCCAAAGGCGCCGCCAGGCAAGGCTCGCCGGCCAGGCGGGCGCCGCCTCGGGGGGCGCGCGCCCGTCGAAGGCAAGGCCCGGCGCGCGGCGCGCGGCGCCCGGGCACCAGCGCCCAACCTGTCGCGCGCGGGCGGGGGGCGCCTGAGCCCCTGCGCGCGGGTCCGGTCCCCAGCTGGCCAGGAGACACTGCTGGAGCGTTTGCCTCCTCGGCCTTCCCCTCCGGCTGCCAGCGCCTGCCGCTCTTGCCGCTGGCGCCGCGCATCGCCCCAATCAACGTCGACGCGCCGCCGCCGGCGGCGCGCGAGCACGTCGGCGGCAGCAGGCGCGTAGGCCGGAGAAGAACTGCCTGCAGAGCACGAAGCCGCCAGGGTTGCAGCGACCCATGCCCCGCGTTTCGCCGTCTCGCACGGCGCGGGCCTGGTTGCAGCCGCCCGCGGACATCGCCCCGCAGGTAGCCTTGAAGCGATGGATAAAATCCGGCCAGGTCTCCAAGCGACCCCCTCTGCGGCACCATTGCGGCAGCCAGCGGGCGTCGCGCTGGGGCGCCCGGCGGAAGCCGTCGCACGGGCCACTCCAGTCGCGCCGGCGGTCGCTCGCCAATCTCATCTTCATCTTGGCTGCTGCGCCAGCAGAACGAGCGTCTCCAAGTGCCGCCACGGGGGCCGCCCGCGCCGCCGCCACCCCGGCTGCACCAGTCAGCAGCCCGGTAATGAACCGAGAGCCAGGTAGAGGCGTCGGAGGGCGCCTGGCCCCCGCCCTTCCCCTGCCGCCCTGGGGCGCCGTCACCGCCGTCGCGGCTGGCCGGGCGGCCGCCGCTAGCGATCCAGGCGACGCGCGCGCGAAGTCTGCTCCGTCCAAGACCGCGGCCCACTCGCCCCCCATCTTGGCGCAGAGTAAATGCCCTGTTCGGACCGCACCCACTGGCCCGATTACCGAGCCGGGCTATACGTCGGGCCAGAGTCACCCCCCAGTCTCGTCGGCCTGCGCGCTCCAGCACGCAGGGCGAGCGCCGTCGTCGCCCCCGGCCATTAGGTAGTGACCCGCACTCACTTCGGGCGCGATGCCACTGCGCTGTCGTGACACGGTAGGTCTGGCGGCGGGAACGTCCCGCGGCGGCGCTCGTCAGCTGTCCTTGCAGCCCCCCGGCTACTTCACGTTGCCGCTTGCACCGGCGGTGCCCTGGCGCCCGCGGTCACGGGCACGGGGCGGGCGGGGATGCCCTCCCCCCTCACCACCACCCCGTCGCCACCCCAGTCCCGGGAGGGTCTCCTACGGCTGGCTTACGTCTGCCCGATCGGAGAAAGATCGGTCTCGCCCTCGGTTCCTCCTGGAGCGGTGCCACTGGACTCCCGATCGCCAGGATCCTCCAGGTGGGCGGACCCGGCGAAGTCGGGCCCCGGGCAGCGTCACTGGTCGCTCGCCCTGGAGGCTCGTCTGCGGCAGTCGCCCTGGGAGCGTCAACCGCTTCCCCGACTGGGGTCGGGCGGCGGTAGGCAGCGAGCAAAGAGGCATTCAAACTTCGGGTGCCCTGGCTGGCCAGGAAGGATGTCAGGCCGATCAAGCCGGTCCCGCACAGGGCTGCACGGGACTGGCCAATGCGGCCCGACTGCCGTCCCAGAGGAAGGCGTCGCGAACGCTGGCGCCCGGGATGGCGCTGCCGCATATTTTGTCCAAGAAAGTAATGCGCGCACCGAGGTCCCAACACCAGGCGTCGGTGCTCTTGTCCTCCTTCCCTGGCTCGGGCGCGTCGCTCAGTTCCTGGACCAACCCGCGCCACGCCTCCTCGATGACTGGATGCAACCGCCTGGCGTGGTCCACCGTCACGCCGGCGATCGTCTTCTCTTGGCGGCCGGTCTTGCTGGCTGGGTCACTGGGGCCAAGGAGCACAAGGAGCGGCTAACCAGCGGCAGGCATCCAGGCGGCAAGAGGGGATCCAGGTCCTGGCAACATTGCGGCTGAGCCAGGTGGCGCCGGGGCCAGGTCAACTCGCTGCTCGTTCTGGACGGGCGGGGGCCGGAGGGCCGGCCAGGTAGCGTCGCCCCGCCGGAATCGACAGAGCTGGAAGTGGCCCGCCCCGAGTCGCAGAACAAATTCCCTGAGAAGTTCCTCGCTCATCCACATGTGCATCTTTGCGACCCCAGCAAGTAGGTCAGGGTGGTACTGTTCCCAGGCAGCGATGCCCTCCCTATGGCCCTAAAGATCATGACACTAGGTGGGCCAGCATGAATTGCTGGCAGGTCCCTGGCCAGCACTACACGCCGCCCCGTCCTTTCGGAAGGACAATAGAAGTTGCTGCAAGAACGTCTTTGAAAGGGACGCACGGGCCTTGTTGCGGCCCTCCTGGCGCCTGCTGCAAAAGCTGAACCAATGCAGGCTGGATGGCAAGGCCGTAGTTGCACCTCACGTAGCCAGCCATCTCCACCAGCGGCCCCATCCCAAGTTCCTGTAGCTGGGAGCGGGGGCGGCGGGCCGAGGGGTGAAGCGCAGGCTCCCGGGCCCTGGAATTGCCGCCCGGCGGGAGGTGCGGGGGCGCCCAAGGGGCCGGCTGCTGGGCTGGCTGCTCCACAAGCTGGTCCACATCACCCGGCCGCGCTGCAGGCTGAGGCTGTGACGGGGGCCGATGGGCGGGTGGCTCCGACGGGGGCCTGTGGGCGGGCAGGAGTGGAGATGGCCATGCGTCTGACTTCGGGCGAACTCGGGACGCAGCCCCGCAGCGGCAGGGACGCCCGGCACCTCTCCTTCCAAGTTGCCTCCAGCGCAGCCTTGGCTCTCAGCCCCCAGTCGGTGAGGGCGGCAAACCGTTGCTTCCCAACCGCATGGCGTCATTCTTGTCGTCGGAGTCCGCCAAGGCGCCGAGTGGGTCGTCTGATCATAAATATATGCATGATTGCTGTTAGTAGTAATACCCTTCTGGTTTTGTTCTTAGCATCATCGCCATCATCAGTACATTGGTATTCGTATTGGTATTGGTATCAATCATATCATTATTCCTCCTGCTCCTCTTGCCCCTCCTCCTCCGCCTCCTCTTCCTCCTCCTCCTCCGCCTTCTCCTCCCTCGTCCTTCGTCCCTCGTCCCTCGCTCCACCGCGACAGGCGCGGCGTCCGTCGCGAGACCGATGCCGAAGCTGACGACGACGACACATGCAACGACGTGGATCGAAGAGGACGACGACGACCACGGCGACGACGATGACGGCGGCGGCGGCGGCGGCGACGGCGACGGCGACGGCGACGATCCACGACGACGACGACGGAGACGACGATCGACGGCGCGAGCACAGGCCTGCTCTTCGGGCGGGTAGCCTTGCCTGTACCACGTGCACCTCGGCGATCCGCGGAAGATCGAAGGTTCATGGAGGGCGCCAAGTGCCCGTGGACCCCTTTTGCCCCTCCCCTTCCCTTCCTCCTGCTCTTCGTCGCCGTTGTCATTTCCTCCGCCTGCTCCTGCACCTCTTGCTTCTCCACCTCCCAGCCACCGTTCCGACTCCCATATTCGTCCTCATTGTCGTCCTCCTCCTCCTCCTCCTCCTCCTCCTCCTCCTCCATCCCCTCGTCCTCAAATTTATCCAACTCCTCCACATAGCCCTCCACCTCCCCCATGAAGATCCGCATCCTCTCCCGCATCCTTCTTACCATCGCCATATCCATCACCATCACTATCACCGTCACCGTCATCATCATCATTACCACCATCATTATCCCACACAAAAGTGTCATCATCATCAGCAGCAAGTCAACCACCACCACCATCACCACAACCATCGCCGACAACATCCCCATTACCATCACTATCCACATCATCATCATCGCTGTAAACATCATCAGCATCATCACAATCATCATCACCGTCATCACCCGCAGCATCCTCATCACCACCCATCACCACAATTATCTGTATCATCGTCACCATCCTCATCCTCATCATCAACAACGATTGCGTCGGCATCACCATAACCATAACTACCGCCACCACCACCGCTAAGTACCCTTACCGTTCGTCACCGCCAGCACGACCACCATCACCAACATCAGCATCCCCATCACTACCGTCATCTCCCCATGATCATCCTCATTACCATCAGAACCAGTATCAGCATCATCATTAGCATTACCATCATCAGCATGATCATCATCATCCACACCAGCAGCACCACCTCCAACAACAGCAACAGCGACAATCATCGCATGACCAATCGTTATCAAATCATGGTGGACCCGTCAACACGTAGACCCCCGGTGATTGACACCCGCTATCTTCATCGTTCCGCGCCAGCTACTGAATGACCCAAAAAAATCACACCGGACCGCCAGGCAGGCGGATCCGAACGGGCGGGGCGGGCGGTCGCCGACCATCCAAACGTTGCCCGCCTTAACGCAGGTGTCTGTAGACCCTCCGCGGGGTTCCCATCGCGGGGTAAGCAGCGTCCGCGTCGTAGGGTCGTAAGGGCCAAGCACCCCATCCTGGCCGTTCAAGCTTGGCTTTGAGCGGGGTCCGACAAGCCGCGTTGGTTGCCCTCAAAGTTCAGCTTGTGGCTGTCGTAGCTCTGCAACAGGTCCTCTTAACACTGCCGGTGGCCCGTCTGGTTGGTTGCCCGCGTAGCTCTGCTGATGGCCCTCGTAGCTCTACTAACTTTCTCGAAGCTCTGGGCAGGTCCGAGAAGCCGTGCGCGTCGCCCACGAAGCTCTGTTGGCAGTCCTCGTAGTTTTGCTGGCCGCCCTCGTAGCTCTTTTCGTTGTTCTCGCAGCTATGCGTGTTGTCCTGGTATCTCTGCCTGTGGCCCTCGTAGCTGTAGCTCCGCTGGTGGTCATCCTTTTGTAGCTGGCGTGGCTCTGCTTGTGGTCCTCGTAGCTGCGTTGGTGGCCCTCGTTGCTCTGCGCGTTGCCCATGAAGTTCTGCTCGTAGCTGTCGTAGCAACGCTTGTGGTCCTCATAGCCCTGCCGGTGGCCCTTGAGGCCCTGTCAGCAGAACTGATGGTAGCCCTGGAGGCTCTGCCAGTGGCCCTCGCTCATATCCCTGATGCCTTCGAGGCTCTGCGTGTGGCCCTCCTAGCTCTGCCGATGATCCTCGAAGCTGTGCTACTGGCTCTCGCGGATCTGCTGGTGGCACTCGTCAGCGCCCCTCAAACGGGGACTCCACTAACGGGTACTTTGGCCAGTGACCCAGCGAACCCAACCCTTCCCGATGCGGGCAACGCTGCATTGCCAGAAAGAGGCCCTAAAGTGGCAACTTTCGGCAAAATTGCAAAGTACCCGTTAGTAAGTACCCGTCGCGGTGCCGTTGAACTCGCAGACCTGCTGGTGACCCGCGTAGCTCTGCTGGTGGCCACGATGGCTCTGCTGGTGGCCCTCGAGGCTCTGGCGGTGGTCCTGGTGGGCCCGCTTGTGGCCGCCATCGCTCTGCACGTTGCCCATGAAGTTTTGCTTCTGTGGTCCTTCCTCCTCCTCCTCCTCCTCCTCCTCCTCCTTCCACGTCATCCTCCTCGTCCTCGTCCTCGTCCTCGTCCTCGTCCTCGTCCTCGTCCTCCTCTTCTTCAACCTCCTCCTCCTCCTCCTCCTCCTCCTCCTCCTCCTCCTCCTCCTCCTTCTCCTCCTCCTCCTCCTCCCCCCCCCACTTGGGTACCTGTCGCCAAATATGAAAACGAGGGCGCAGGGTGAGGAAGCTAGAACAATGGGCTTACCATGCGAGGCTGGGTTCAGAGGGCAAGGATGGCCCCCGAGCAGGCAAGAAATGGGCCCAGCGGGCAAGGGTGCGTCCATGCTACTGCGCTTGCCCGTGCGGCCCCTCCTGCACTGGATCAGCACGGGCCTAATACGCTGGAGCCCAAAAGTGACCCCCGGAGGTCTCTGGAGTCCTCCAGAAGCCCCGGGCTCCCCAGAGGGGTTCTGGAGGCCTTCGGTGCCCACCACAACAACAACAACAACAACAACCACAACAACAACAACAACAATCATTTTAAGACTATTCGCTCTTACTGGCACGGGTGTCTTGCATTCCGTATACCCCAACCCTCGATACCCGCCCACTTCGTCTTCGATTGCACCCACTTTCGGGGGGAAATCTCTTCCTTGTCGGCCACTGACTGAAGTGCAAAGAAGTCTCGAGCGAGAGCGCCGTTCCTGAGTTCGGGGGCCTCTCTGGCCAGGGGCTCCCGGAATACCTACCAAGAAATATCGAACGTGAACCCTTGTCGCCGTGCCTGGGCCTCCACCAAACGTGCCTGAATTACGAGAAAGTCGTACTAGCATCAATGGTAGCAGTTCTAGCAGCACCTGTAGTAGTCGTAGTAGTAGTAGTAGTAGTAGTAGTAGTAGTAGTAGTAGTAGTAGTTAGTAGTAGTAGTATAGTAGTAATATTAGTAGTAGTAGTAGTAGTGTCGTCGTCGTCGTCGTCGTCGTCGTCGTCGTCGTCGTCGTCGTCGTCGTAGTAGTAGTCGTAGTAGTAGTAGTAGTAGTAGTAGTAGTAGTAGTAGTAGTAGTAGTAATACTACTACTAGTAGTAGTAGTAGTAGTAGTCGTCGTAAAAGTAGTAGTGGTAGTAGTAGTAGTAGTAGTAGAAGTCGTCGTCGTCGTCGTCGTAGTAGTCGTAGTCGTAGTCGTAGTCGTAGTAGTAATAGTAGTAGCAGTAGTAGCAGTAGTAGCAGTAGTAATAATAGTAGTCGTCGTCGCAGTAGTAGTAATAATAATTGTTGTTGCTGTTGTACAAGAAATAGTACTAGCAGTAGAAGGAGCAGTAGTAGCAATAGTAGTAGTAGTAGTACTATTACTACTACTACTAGCACTCGTGCTAGTACTAGTAGTAGTAGTTATTGTAGTACTTGATATAATAGTAGTCGTGGTGACAGTAGTAGTTGTAGTAGTTGCAGCAGTAGTAGTAGTAGTAGTAGAAGCAGTACTAGTAATAACACTGGGTAGTAGCTGTAGTAGTAGTACTACTACTACTACTACTACTACTACTATTACTACTACTACTACTACTACTACTACTATTATTATTACTACTACTACTACTACTACTACTACTACTACTACTACTACTACTACTACTACATCGTCGTCGTGGTTTTCGTCCTCGTCGTCGTCGTCGTCGGCGGCGGCGGCAGGCAGACAGGGAGGGAGACAGAAAGGGCGATGACGACGACGATGACAGGGACGCACAGGAGCGCCACAATGGCTGCGTCCTCCTCCTCCTCCTGCTGCTCCTCCTCCCTCTCCTGCTACACTCCTCCTCCCCTGAATCCGTTGCGTTGCTTTGCGTTAGGTTGCGCCTGGGGGGGAGGGTCCGTTGCGTTGCATTGCGTTGCGCCGGGGTGGGAGGGCGCCAGCAAATGGCTTCGTCAACAACAACAAAAAACAAACAGATAAAGCAGCAACAACAACAACAACAACATCAACAACAACAGCAGCAACTATCAGCTTAAAACTGTTCGCCCTTAATTGCTGGCGTGCCATTCAACACGAAATCCCAAACCCTCGATACCCGCCCTCTTCGTCTGCGATCGTACCTCCTTAGGAATTACCTGCAACGTGTCGTGCAGCCCCTAAGGCAGGGGGAGAGAGAACAAATGGAAGGAAGGGACAAGGGGCAGGCGGGTTACTGAAGCGTGCGTCCTGCACGAATCGCGTGGAACTCTCGAGCGATAGCGCGAATCTAAAAGAAATCATGAGGAAAGCCACAGCGAGAGCGCGATTCCTGTCGAGGGCGCGGCGTCTGAATAATTGAAAAAGAAGTCCCACGCGAGAGCGCGATTCCTGCATAAGTTGTAAGGAAGTCCCGCGCGAGAACGCGATTTTGAAATAAATTGTGAAGAAATATTAGGCGGGAGCTGTTATTGTAAGCCGGGGCCCAACGACACAGTTTGGGGACACCTCACTTCCCTTGTAAAAAGCAGGGTGCGAGCCCTGGGAGAAGCGCTTCTATTAAATAAAATCGTTACCGGAGGGGGGGCAACAAAAACATTCTTCAGAAGTGAGAATTAAACCACCACAGCAACAACAACAACAACAGCAACAACAACAACAACAACAACATCAACATCAACATCAACAACAACAAAAACCATATTCATTTTAAGACTGATCGCTCTTACCTGCTCGCGCGCCATTCAACACGTATATCCCGAACCCTCGGTGCCCGCCCTCTTCGTCTTCGATCTTACCCCCCGTGTTGGTATATCTTCCTTGCCTGCCGCCTGTAGTTGGCGCAGCCCCTAAAACAAGGGAAGAGAGGACGGATGGAAGGGGGAGAGAGAAGGATGGAGCAGGAGAGGTGCTAGGACCAGAAAACACGTGGCAGAACCAGACGGGCCCATCGGGCGGGTAGACC